GAAGTCTTTTTAATGATAATGTTAAGACTACTGGACGGTGTGAAATAGCATCATCTTTTTCAGTGTCTCCTTCTTGACCAGAATTTTTATTTTAATAAACACATTAAAACTATGAATTTAGGAATAAATTTGTTAAGTTGGAAATCCTAATCTAAGCCCTTGTTTTCCAAATTTTCACCTTGTTGAGGACTCAGCTTCTTTGGGAAAGCTTAAATGCATGTGAGTGAGACCACTGGGTCAATCTAGGTGAGACAGGCAGAAGGTAGCCACTGAATTTATGTAGTCAGCTTTCAATGTATGTGAGCTTGCATCTGTAGCAGAATTATCTCAAGCACATGACAGAGCGCTTCCGGTGCCACCGCAGGTCTGTTAAGCAGGGTTGCCATTTTAGTGTGGTACAAAGGTACCAAGGAAGCTTAGGTATCTGTCCCCATCGTGAAACTGGGTACGCCGGGAACTATGGTGTCAGACGTACAGATCACCCCAAGAGTCAGCCTGGGTCTACCATACCCATGACTGAAATAACTTAATAATCTGAAGTAGATACGCACAGCACTCCAGGTTCTGGGAAGGCTCAGTAGGTCAGGTGAAACAAGATACCAGTGCGGAAAGTCAGTTCGTCTCTGGCATAACACCCAAGGAAATAAATGCTGGTTTTAGACTGCGGTATAGTGGACTCGGGAGTGGTGGTGGAAGAGTCTGTTAGCAACAGTGGGTTTATTGAGACTGTCGTAAATACATCCTCATGCTGTTTGCCAGATCGGAAGTATGTTAGCCCTGTGTCTTAGTATGTAAGCCACAGAACCCCACAGAATCCCACAGTTCTGCCACACAGAGGATGTAGCAGCTAATACTGCTTTTCTGCTAGGAAGTTTAGGAGCTTCTTTTTTTATAATAGCCAAATATTTGCTTCTGATTTTTCTGTATGTCGCTGTAGATCTTAGCAGGAAAATCCACTCCAACTACTTGTTCATTATGTGATCTATTCGTTCCCCACTAAAAAGTTGCTAGCTTCATTTTGTAAATACCCTGCATTTTACAGACCTTGTTAGCACATGATTAATAAATCTTACTCGGATACACTGCATTCTTCTAATTAAGGGCTTTATAAAAGTAATTTTAAATGCACGTAATAAATATACTCCAAAACCTATTAATTTTGAAACTCATTTTCTGTATAAGAGTATATAAGAAGTGGACGGAAGGTTGCAAACAAGAAAGATGAACCTGTAAGACTTAGTACTTCCTGGTGCACTGTGATTGATGTGTGCAGTACTAGAGGTGTTAACTCCGTTTATATTTAGATCGCTCATGGCTTCAGGAGAAAGTAAAAATTGAGAAACTCCAACAGAAGATCCAGCTAGCACTTCAGCACGTCCTACAGAAGAACCACCGAGAAGATGGAATTCTAACAAAGGTAAGCCTCATACTGTGCCGTGTCACATGGCTGTGAAAGTATGCTTTCTTATGAACGGTATCCTAATGACGGTGTAAAAGCTTTTACGCAGTTAATTTGCAATTATTTGTTAATTTATAAACCCAGAATTCTTTGTTCAAAACCAAGGTGCTTAGCTGAAACTATTTACTAAAATCTAGAAGGGTGAAATGATGATGTACTAGTGACCAAGGTTGATAATGGTCTGAAAAGTAGTATTTTAATGCTGAACTTCATGAAAAGCAATGAAGGTTTTTATCCTATTCCCCCTACACAACGTTTCTGCCACACAGAATACTATTTCAGTTCTACAACATGCATGCCTTAATCCTTGTGAAATCTCTGCCTGCATGACAATTAAGTTGTTATAACATGCAATACCCAAACTAACCTTGTTTTTCAGTCTTCCATGAGAAGTTCCCCACACAGACTTTTTCTCAGCAGTTCTTCCAAATATTGATACCTAGGGAAGAGAAAAGGGATACTACATTCTGTTACACTAATCTAAAGTATCTTCACTTAATTTTTAAAAAATGGAAAAGTGGTGTGGTGTTACAAAAAAAAAAAATCTGAAGAACCGGGGAAGGATAGGCACTTCCTTACAGAGGTAGTTCCTTTTAGAACTCTACACAGCCGGAAAGCTTATGCTTAGCTTCACACCACAGAATTAATTACAATAGAAGCAGGATGGTCCAGCCCAGGCTTTGCAGATTGTCCTCATTTCAAATCCTAGCTCATATAATTCTTTTCCCAGCGTATACTTTGGATACCTTTGTTGGAAGAAAGTTTCTTCCGTGTGCTTTGATAAAAATAATTTACTCAGTAAGTTCAGGGAGTACTGTAGTGATATTTTTGAATTACGGATTTTTCTGGTCTGTTCCTTTTCACCTTGTTTGGCAATAAATTAAAACAGATTAATCACTTGCATTGCCAGTTCCCTCCATAATATTCACAGTGGGTTTAAAAGTAGTCAGGACTGCCTTCTTCCAACACAATGACTAAGTTGCATGAATTAAGATCCAGCCATGAAATACTTCTGTATCAATCCAGTACTTGGTAGGCAAGTGAGGAAACCTAATGATGCGTTTTCCTAGGAACTTAAAGAAAAGACTGTTTCACAAATAGCGCATTAATCCATTACTTAAATAGCCTTTTAGTGGCTTCCTCTTTTTTTTTTTTTTTTTTAAAATCTAACATAACAAACATCGATGACTACGCATCTGAAACGTCATTGTTAAGGTAAACAACTGAAGTGAACTCGAAGTGTTTGAGAGCTTTAATCCTAAGAGCAAGATTGGGAGGCCTGGTTCCATATATATGACCGTATGACTTCTGTTCCATTTTTTTACAGTTAATATGCAAAGTGTCTACTTTAAGAGCACTGTGTGGACGACATACAGAAAAGCTTATGGCATTTAAAGCAATATACCCAGACATTGTACGACTTCATTTTCCTCCACTTTACAAGGAGTTGTTCACTTCTGAATTTGAGCCAGCGATGCAAATTGATGGGTAAACGTATCACCTAAGCACTTCTAGAATGTCCGAAGTACAAACATTAAAACAAAAGAAAGGAAAAGAAAAAAAAAAAAAGAAAAAAAAGAAAGAAAACCAAGACACTTTATATGGCCCTGCACAGACCTAGGGAGCCAACACACTGCACATCTCTTGGCGGTCGGGGTCAGGCGAAGGATGGGAAACAATGAAACAAAGTTGAACTTGTTTTTCTCATGCATATGATTTCCATTATGCCTACAAATATGGACCCTTTTTCTGTCTCAGCTTCTCAATCCTTGACCTCTGTTTACACAGACTGAGGGTACTAATGTCAGAAGGTTGTTTTCTCTTGTAGTTCACTGCCCAGACTTTTGACAGAACAATCAATTTGTTGATCAGAACAGAGAGTCCACCTAGTAATCGGCGACTGGTGTGCATTGCAGAGATTTCAGCATCAGTTTGCACAACTTGCTCATTGTTTCATGAAGGACAATTTTTTTCACCTACCACTGTTTGCCAGTAGACAGAACGGCATGAAAAGGGTCCATAGCAATAGCAACAATAGCATTATAATATATTACAGGGTAAATGGGCATGAAGACTATATATAGCAAAAGAGATATTGTTTATATATTGTTTTAATTAATATAAAATGTAGTTACTGGTATAGCTTTTCTTGTTGAATTGATAAGGCACTTTCATTTTGCACCTTTTTCTTTAAATTAAATGCTAGCGTGTTCATTGTTGTGTTGCATGTGCACCAGAAATTCAAGTTTAACTGAAAAAGGTTTGGCAGGTACTGGTACATTGGGAGGTATTTATGCTGCTGTTTTCCATGTGACTTTTAAAGAGAGGCTGGTCATATCCTGAAATGGTTACACAGATTTTTTTAAAGAGTTGAAAATAATGACAATTTTGTAAATTAAAATCAGCTTTTCAGCTGTTAATTTCTAAGGTACTTTTATTTTCAGATCTTTCAAACCTGGATGTTTAAAATTACGTGCCTAAATTCAGATTTAGGTGCGCAAGTCAAAAGCCTCATTTTCAAAGGTGCTGAGCTTCCGTGGTCAAAGTTAAACTAAGCAATTACAGATCATTTACGAATGAGTAACAGAGCATCCTTGAAAATCAGGCTATTAAATAAAGTGTATTTCTGCCCACCCTAAATCCAGGTTTGAAGGTATTTACTCAAGTCTGTATCTACAGTAAAAGTATGTGTGTATGACATGTATGTGGAAAGGTAATTTTGATACATAATGTTACATACTTTTGTACTCCATATCGTAAACAATGCCTTCAAACTCCAAACTCTAGCCTACCAAAATCCATAGGAGGTTTGTCTTTGACTTCAGTGAGATGAGACACTGACCCATGTTCTTCCAGCATCCGGCAGTTCAATTTCAGGTAGCTGAACAGAGAAGTCCATTGCTCTCCTTATTTAAAAAGATGCACTTTAAAGTTTATCAGACGAGGACAGACTAACCAAGTAAAGGCACGCTGTTGCTAGAAGGCGTTGTTTTGTGCTCTGTATAATGCCTGGAAATCATTAGTATCATAAATCTGCATTCTGTAATTCTGAAATTGTGATTCCCGTATTGCATAACCAACCAATAAGCCGAATCTTGCAGTCTTTATTAATAACCATTCGCTTTAGGAAGAATACCGTCTCTGAACAAATTTGGCAAGTAAACCGAGTTCTGAAGGAAGCAGATTCACAGTAAATGACATCACAAAATAAACTGTGGCTGTTTGAGCCAGAGGCGCATACCTGGTTTGGATGAGATGAGGATGTGTAACTGGATGCCTTGTAGGCCTACACAAATGAAGTTTCTGATCAAGTACGTAAGACAAAGCCAGGAACTTTAGAAAAGAAAAAGGAACGAGACAGAATGCGCTCCACTGCTTTAATTTCCAAGGATAAACAACCTCTTACACATATTATAGTTGTTGAGAAGTAACAGAAGTGAAGAGAAGCACACTGAAGCCTAACTACTGTAAAAAGTAGAACTAGGTCAGTGGGGTGTTATAAGCAAAATAGAGTTTTATTCTGTGATTTGAACACGTTTCCTCTGGGGTCAAATTGAGACATTTAGCTGTGACACCTGTTAAAAATTTTATAGTCTGCCACATCAGGGAAGCTTACAGCTATCACTCATCTCTATGGTTTGAAAGGAGGGGGAGACGAGCATCGTATGTTTCCCCTTCCAAGCAGGATGGGATGGGAACACCTGCACCTCCGTGAGCACTGGGGTGGAGGCATGAGAGGGCTTTTGGAAAAAGTCCATAGAGCCATCCTTTTACTGCTCCATCCTGCCTGCTCCCGAAGAGGCGGCTCACAGCCCAGCACATGCTCTCTCCAGCCTCACTGAAACACTTTTCCTAGAATCATTGTTTACTTTATTGGAGTAACTGGCATGATATGGTACTTCAATTCTAATGTGTGTTCCTATTTTTAAAGCAACCCTTTTAACTAACAAACGTTTTCTGAATGTGACCAGCCTTAGGTGCTAGTCCTGTAAAGATCAACTAAACTTAATTTCAGTGTCAACTAATGAATAATGAAGTAAGACCTGTACTTTTTTAGAGAGCGAGATACAACTCCTACTTCTGACAATAAGTAGATTACCAGGCAAAATATTTTGGGATTAATTTTCAGTCACGTCCTTTTCTTACCTTTTCCTGATGAATATTAGTACTCTACCAGGCATCTAGGTGCCAGTGGTTTTGTTTGGTATCTAGTTCAGCGTATTTACACCCATAAGTCATTGACAATACAGATTTTTGGAGCATTTACTAATAAAATACATAACCATAAAAAGGTTCCAGACAGGGCCTTAGCTGAAAGCCCTTTGCATCTGAAAACAGCTTGTGACGTGATCTTCCAGGCCAGAAAGTGCCATCATTTTTGTCCGTGGGAGCTCCTGTGTACCGGCACCTTGTTAAATCAGGCTGTGCGTACATACTCCAAGTAACTCCGCTTTCCTGATCACAGTTAACAGCCACTTGGCAGTAGAATATTGTTTTTGTTTTGCTCTTCGTAGACAGGGGAAAAAGGGGGTACAGCATGGCAGGTGTACTGGTAAGACTTCTGGTGCCAAGGAGGGTTTTATGAAAGGGGACATAGAATAACGTTGGAGTGGCTGGTCCAAGCAACGGCCATTTAAGACCCCAACGCAGCAGAGAAAATGCACTCTGCAGAACCTCTGGGACTATGGCCTGGTATCAGATGATCAACCGAATATTCAGTTAAAAACATATTCGGGGTCAATGGATATGCACGTGAGTATTTCCATAATCTGCCCAGTTCACTACAAACAAAAACATGAGGATAGCTGAAGATAAAGGAATAATGTCTTGGGTTTGAATGATCTGTTCCTTAAAGTCTGCAAAGAGGTTTTCATTGGGTGTTATATCTATCTGCAGAGATGTTTTCTGGCTTTCTAGGAAAGGGATACTATACTATGCTGTCATTTGAACCACCCTAATGCACTTCAACATCTCCAGCATTGGTTGACGTTTTAAAAACTATGGGATTAGGTGAAAAGGGAGGCTGGTTTTAAGTTTGGTTGTTCTTTATTAAAGCTTATCTATCTTAGTATGGATACCAAGATATCTGTGTGTGTATGTGCACCTGTGTGTGTGTGTGTGAGAGTACATTTGTGTGCGCACATGAATATATGCGTGGGTACGTGTGAGCGGCTGCTTCTAGGCTGTTAAGTGTCAATGGAATAAAGAAAATGTATTCAAAATACTTAAGTCAAAAATAGAAGGTGGAAAAAAGATTTATTCTATACAAAGCCTTGTCTGGACCACTTTAGAGAGACTTCTATTTTTTTAACCCTTCTATAAATGTTTGATGGCACTTGAAATATTCCTGCAATAAAATGTGATTTGTGTAAACATTAAAAAAAAGATTTTGTAATGTGAAACAATGAAAGAAAGTAATGTAATTTTTCTAAAAAACAAAAAAAAACAAACGAACGAACTTTGTATTATTTTCTTGATGGAATTTGTCTATTTGTCTTTGGAAAACTTTTTATTTCATTGAATGTGCCATAGTAGAGGTGTGTTTTTCTTTTTCTTTCTTTTTTTCGTTTTTTACATTTTAGATTAAAGGAATAGCTGTGTTCCGACATTCCAAAATGCAAGATGACATAGCAGTCATGATTAAAAGGTTTGATTAGTAAGCTTCAATCATTGTTGCTTTTTTTGCACATGTTCTTCATTCCTCTACAGTGCAATATGTACATAGAGCACTTGCGGGTGTAACCTTGATCCCTCAGGGAAAAATACATATTTGTACAGGATTTTTCTTTTTTTGCCTTTTTTTCTTTTTTTTTTCTTTTGCTAAGGAATGTCGATTGAATCACTTGTCTGTTGTTGAGGGGCAGCCAGATAATAATCCTAAGCCACTGTCACAAAACATTGATTGTTTAAATTTTGTTCCCTTTTATTATTTAAAAAAGAAAAATAAAAGTTATTTTCTGACAGTTCTTTGTGCTGATTGGTGAAAAAAAGGGTAAATAGATAAGCACCTTACGATTGACTTAACTGTGAATGACAATCCATCTCGTTATCAACAACAGAAGCCCTATCATTTTGGAGCTGGGGTTAAGAGTCAGAAACTAATGTGCTCAGGGATCTTCTAAAACTCTTCAACAGGGTGGCCAGTGCTACTGGCGGAACAAATTACTTAAAAAAAAAATGGAGAACTGGATTTTTTTTTAACTAAATGCTCTATGCGTGCCTCATTCTCTTACTCAGTTTTGCAGTATAGCTGCTCTTTGGTCTTTATTTTGTTCAAAACAAAAGTACTCCGAACAGCGCAAAGGTTTTGCAGTTGTATTTGAGAAAATAAATGAATGCTGACCCATTAAAAAAGTGATTGAAATTAATTTCAGTCACCACTGGACATTTTTATAATGATAGGACTATTTTTCCAGCTGAATTTCAGTGTTTTGCCATAGAAAATGGATTTTCAGTATTTAAATTATTGTCAAAGACAACAAATCAGTTTATGATAGTACAGTAAGATTGAAAAGGTAATGATTAGGTTTCGGCAATGACGTCGCATAGAAAGGAACATAGATCTGCAGGAATACAAGAACAACAATTCAGACGTTGTCTGTCATTGTTGCATATGCTTCATGGTAAAGGAAAAAACCTGACTGGAAAGAAACACTGAGGCTGAAGACATTTGCATATCTAGTACATCAAATACAGCAATTCCAAGTGAGTACAATGGCACCAAAAACCAGCAATGTCTAGGAAGTCTCCACGTGCCAAACTGCAGGATTCTGGAAGCCTGTCCCAATTAGCCTTGGTTTATGGCTTCACATTCTTTTGAAAATGCAAGTAGAGAAGTAAATAAGCAACTACAAACGAAATGAGCAAGATTTCAAGACTTTGGTTAGACTGGGAAGAGACTGAATTTCTCCATCAAACATGACTTTCTTCTTGCAAAAAGCATCAGTTCTCCAGTATCTTAAGTTATTGAGGGTTTTTCACTGGGTATTTGGCTTCCAGTTGTTTACTTTCAGTTGCTTAATACATAGGGAAACCTTTCTTACGGTTTTCCAAGCTGACGGTCGAGTTTAGCTTGGAATGGCCTTCCAAGGCAGACAGCGGCTTAGCAAGTATGACCTCTTGACCAGTTTGTGTTCTGGCATCTTCAGCAGAAGAAAATGCCGTTGCTGATTCACAAGAGAACCTATTCTTTACATACTTGCGATCAATTAAACATACTGCTAATATGTACAATCTATTAGATGTTTTAACTATGTAGTGGGGTGATCCAAACATTACAGTATCTTTTTTTGGATTGGCGTAGACATTCCCCAGTCCGTACTTGATGAACGAAACAGGTTGCACAGTATAAGCTGTACAAACAATGTATATTTTTTCTCTACACATTCCGAAACTCCCCGATGTAGATAAACTTATTAATATAAATGTCAGAAACAGCATTTACTATCCAATATCCAAAAATAATATGCAATTTTCTCTTGAGTATTGAGTTTATGAAATTCTACCTGTGCTAGCTGATTCAGATTGCACAGAAGAAACATCCTTGTTTTCCTTAGCTGGAGAAATACAACTATTTCAATTATTTTTCCATTATTAATACTAATATTTATTACCTTAAAAGTTTAATCCATGAATATATTTGAATATTAGCCTGCTATTTTATTTACGCTTAAATATTCCTGTCAGTATCATTTGGTGGAAATGAGGGCAAATGCATACAGATACCAAATACAACAATAAAAGAGAAGTTTTAAAATTTAAATGAGTATTTATTTAAAAATCACTGCAGTATGTGCTTTAATACTAGTACTGTGATAATAGCTCACTAAATAATGCTAAGTCACTGGACTTGAGGAGAAAAATACGTGACATTTAGGATAATATACAGTCTATCTTTGGAACTTTATTCAGGTACTAAATAGAATTTTAACATCAAAATAAAGCTGTATTCTACCTTTTTCATATGTAATGTTGCTGTTTATCTTTTTTTTTTGCCTTTATCATTGGTAGAATATAGCAATAACTTTATAGCAATAAGTAGGCTATCCAAATAAGAAACAAAACATGATAAAGGCTTCAGATCAATACTCATAGGTTCATTTCTTCTGCCACTATTCACTTGTATGTCTTCCCTCATAATCTCATTACTTCTTCAAGCTGAACTTCACAATCAAGTTGTTCAACTTGATGTGTGACACAACACCTTTTTGTTAACATCTGCATGTTTCCGGTGTTCATATGTCCTTTGTATACTTGTTTTCCTATAAGTCAGTGTTTCTCAAGCTTTCTGAAAGCACAATCCCTCCGGGCTATATTTGTGCATAGGGCTCTCTGTGTTGGAATTAACTTACTTTTGCTGAGGCAGAGAGCGCGAACCAGCTGTAATTACTGGTGGCATTTCCTAACTGAAGGAACTGGGCTGCTGCTAGTACTCGGTAACTCCACGTCTCCTGCAAATGCTTGCAGCCAACAGCCAGCTCTTGCAGCTCCTCCACGCCGCGGGAGCTGAGCTGCATCCAGTAAGTGGGACAAGTTCCCTGGCCAGCGTGCTCATCTGCAGCCAGCACAACCGCACGCTCTGCGCTGGAGAACCGAGCTACGTTTGCCTCACATAGTGTTTGATAATAATCTAAACACTGTGGCAGCTTTCAAATGGTTGTGACTTTCGGTTTGAGAAACACTAGCCTAAATTACCCCACAAAGTCTTAATGTAGATGCACAAACTTTACAGGAACTTGCAATCTGTAATTCTATCTATATCTAATGCAGAGAATTCATAAGCAATACAGTGAATTTTATTTCACAAAAAGGCATACGTACTGTACACCTTTCTAAATCCAAAATGTTCCTCATGTCTACAGTGATTTAGAAACAAGCTACAGAACAGTGGTGAATATTTGAACTATTAGGACATTAACTGGCTGCTTCTTCCTATGTAACTGTATTGTCTGCCTGCTCCTTTTCTGGAGATGTGTTTTTGTATCGGATGTTTGGGCCAATGGGAGGCTTCAAGCTACAATGTATTTTCCCAGATTAAATATATTTAACATATGACAAACCCCAGACAAGGCTTTTTAAAATGTATAAAGAACTGCAGTGTTAGGTGGTTTATTTGCAAACTGTTTTCAATGCTGTCCATTTTTATGGCACCTTTAACAATATTCTTGTTTCCAAAGTACAAAAAAAAAAGGTTAAAAATACTCTAGCCATAACTGAATGTCAAGCAATAAAAACAAATGACTTTTTGTGCATAGATTTAAAAGAAATACAAGTTTTAGACATCTGCATGTAAATGCAATCTCTTGTTTACTGCTTTCTTAAACTTGAGCAACTGATTCCTTATTTTATTTCTAATTTAAGGACTTGTAATGGCCTGTAAACATTTTATCTTGCTCTATTCTTTCAACTCTAACTTTGTCTCTGCTTTGGAGTCATAATATTTAATTTTGTTCTGCTCACCTCTATACAGTTAACTTTTTGCTTTCATTCTGTATAGATAAAGTTATACTATAAACAGCCTACACAGTGCAAATATTTATCTGTTTATCAAATACCACATTATGCTGTATAATATCTGTTTTACTATATTTACTATATATTTTATTTTAGACATAGCTGTTTAGAACTAGAGTGTGCTATTTTTGTGTTTTTCTGATGTGTGGTGCTAGATAAGTTACTTTTGTGAACAAAAGCAAACAAACCCCTTTTATTCCTAGACAATACCACCTTTGGGTCTTGTTAATTTCACTGAGTATAACTATATATAAATATATATATATTTGTGTATATATATATATACACCAACATATGCCCAACAAGTACCTGTATCAGAGTACAAGATTTGGGACATGGTTTTCTCTTTAAATGCATAGTATCATTATATAAATTATTCTATAGTATATTTAATAAGGAGAAAATTACTTCACCGGTACAGATACTTGTTTTCAAATGTAGAATTTTTTCTACATTATTAACATTATTAATTATTAACGTTATTAAAAATGTTCTGTCCAGCTTGTTATCCTTTTGGTTGCTAAAACAGTCTTCCTGTATTGTATCAGAAAAAAGAAAAACATCTAATCTGCCAGTATAAAGTACATACAATATGCTGTCTGTCTGAAAGGGAGGTAGTTGTTTGGCTTGTTGGGAGAGTTCTATCCTGTCGTCGCATCTGATATTTATAGATGTTATTCTGCTGGGTGCCTTCCTCCCTCTTCACTTTAAATAGGATCTGTACACGCTCAAACTGTGGATGTTACTAGGCCATGCCTACACACTTAACTCCAGTTACTGTAAATAGGAATTTTCTGTAAATCTTCCATGATGGATGGCTAAATTCAGTCCTTGGATATGATTCAGTCTTTGGATATGCTTTAAAAATCATCCCCCCCCCCCCCCCCCCAGCCATTAGCAACTAAAGTTAGTTAAGAAGTGGAATGTTCAACGTTTTGTCAGGTCTGGGGGTTTTGTTTTTATTTTTAATGTGTACCTTAATTTACGTAGTCATGTACCCTTAAAAGTATTCCTATCCCCTGTTCCTTTCATTCTAGATACTGTTTTCATGTTAATTCCTAAAAACTGATGGATATCAAATATCTAACTAAGGAGGTAATTAACCTTTTAAATATTTATTAGAATTTTTCTGTAATATTACTGAATTTATAAGATCTTTAGCAAAGATTTTTGAGCAATTTATTAAATACAATGTTTCTGTTTACTGCACTTTTTAAAAATAGAAGGTAGTATATAAATAATTTTTTTTAAACAGCAAACATACTGTTGTCCTAAAAATAAATACAAACTTTACTGCACCGTGGGTATATTTTCATAAGTGGAATGTTTAATTGCAAACACTATCAGGACAATTATAAAAACCTCTTGAAGCTACAATCTTACTTAAATATAAGCCATGACAATTTTATTTTCCCTTGTTGATTTAAGTCACCTTTTGATATTTTCAAAGAGAAAAGGAGTCGCTCTTAAATTTGTATGTACTAACCTATACATAATGCTAGGAACACGTTCTCCCTATTGTTTTAATTTTAATAGTTTGATATATTTATGCAAAACCATTTGGTTAACATATATTCTCCCTGTTTACTAAATGTTCAACGTAACAAGACCAGAATAAATGCTGATTACAAATATACATCGGTCTGAAGATTAAGCACATA